CGTGTAACGAATTTAGCACTGTACCAATAGCATTCAACATATCAAAGAGACGAATAAGAGTTTTGTAGTGAGAGCCCCTATGTGTATCACCTGGTCGAGCTAAAAATGTTGCTTGATTTTGCCCCTTACCAGTTGACAGTTCACCTATTTCTATGTGATGTAAAGTTTCCTCCTCGTGTACTTGAAGGAGAAAATCCTTCCGCTTGCATGACAATCCAACCGTATTTACAATCATCAATAGCTTTTCAAAGAAATCAAATACGCTCTCCCTATCTTGTGCAGCCGCACCAATAACTAGCTGAAGTTGGTGGGCAAAACAATGAATGTAGTATGCATTCTTGTTTTCATTAAGAATAAGTGTTTTCAACCCATTAAATTGACCGCACATATTTGAAGTTCCATCATAACCTTGACCTCTAAGGCTCCGTTCCGTTCAACTTATTTTTTCTGATCTGATCTGATTCTAATAAGTTCTGATCTGATCTGGTCTGATCTGATCTGATCTGATTGGATCTGATCTGATCTGATCTGATTGGATCTGATCTGATTGGATCTGATCTGATCTGGTCTGATTAATTATGATTTAATTTAAAATTTCAAATCAATAATTTAATTTGACTTTATAATAACGTTTGAAAATTGTAATGATAATTCATATTATAATATAATCAATATTTTTTATTTAATGATTCCTTTTTAATAAAATAAAAATAGTTAATTCATATATTAGAATAATCATTCATATTATAATGTAATAATATTTTTTATTTTATGATAATTTTTTTGTAAAATTAGAATTATACATTGNAAAATATCTCATCCTTATAAAAGATCAAAAGTTTAGAAACTCAAATTACAAGTAGCAATAAAAATATATTTTAAAAGTAGAATTAGATTGACATTGTCAATGTATTTTAAAACTAATTTTTCCGACGTCTAATAATTAAGGATTACTTTCTCAGCTTTTTATTTAACCTATTTCTAAAGTTTATTCTTTTTCATTTTTAAGAACAATAATAATAATAATAATAATAATAATGATGATGATGATGATGACGATGACGACGACGACGATGATGATGATCATAATAATAATAATAATAATAATAATAATAATAATAATATAATAATAATAATAATAATAATAATATAATAATAATAATAATAATAATAATAATTCTTGATGAGATCTTATTTTAATAAGTCTTGATCTGATCTGATTGGATCTGATCTGATCTGATTGGATCTCATCTGATCTGATTGGATCTGATCTGATCTGCTTGGATCTGATTCGATCTGATCTGATCTGATTCGATCTGATCTGATCTGATCTGGTCTGATCTGATCTGATTTTAATAAGAATAAGAAAAAATAAGAAAAAATAAGTTGAACGGAACGGGGCCTAAGTCTTGAAAGGGACAATCCATGTTTTGTAAAAAATTCATCAATTGATTTTTTAAGAAACTTTGCAAAAAATTCATCAATTGAAAACGCTCTATAATCTCCCCTTTATCATTCACAAATCTCAAAATCACCGACATTTGCTCATTCATAGAGCAATCTCGAGCTTCATCAATCAAAAGAGAAAAAAAAAATTTCCTATCTCATTCAATATGACATTTCTCGTTTCCATTCCACAACTATTAATAATATCTCTCTGAATGGTAGGAGAAGTCATTTGATTATGTTTAGGAGCATTTGTTTGCATGACTTTGTCAGCAACTACATTGGTCTTTTAAAACCAAGATATGAGCTCAAGAAAATTACCTCGATGGATTCAGGAGATTCATCATGTCCCTTGAAAGCTAAGACCTCCCCTAAAAGCTAACCGAGTACGATAATCATCTTCAATGGCATTAGTGTTATTCGAAAAGACATAATCTATGTTCTCTCTTTGATTAAGATATTGTTGAACTTTAATTCTACAATAAGAATGAGAACTTTCTTTGGTTCCTACATGGTCAACAAATGCTTAGGATAATCTTTCCAGTTGTTAAATCCAACTTCAGTAAAAGCTTTTGATCCATTTTTTATTGTATTCGCAAACAAATAAAAGTGCAAAAATATGCTCTATCCTTGGCAACACTATACTCCAACCACTTAAACTTATCAAACAAATAACTTTAAAATCGTCTTTTGTTCTTGCCGTCATACTTTGTGGAAATTTATCCATCGATCGTTTACAAGGACTTTTTGCTAAGTATCTTATGCTTAATACATCTCTAATTTCTAATGGATAACTATTAATTTGTTTTCTTAATCCCGGATTAGCAATAATATCATCATTTCAAACCACACTTGCTTTCTTTATAGAAGAAACTTCTTTTTCATTGTCTCGATCACTTACAAATTCTAAATTCTTCTTTTGTCTAATAACAAATTTATCCATCTCACTTCTCCAAATTTCATGATTCAATAATAAAGTAACAAAGTAAAATATCAATAACCTTAAAACAATAATTTTATATATCTTAACCTCTAGAAATTCAAATTACATTAACATTTATCAAATATTTAAATATCAACAAACACACTAGAAACACGGAACAAAATAAATATTCAAAATTCAAAATATAGTTTAGCAATATTCAAAAATTTCAAATATTAATAAATATATCTCGAAATCAGATAATTAAAATTTACATATACCTAGACAATGAGAGAAAATCTGAAGATTTGATGAAGAAGCATAGAAGAAGAGTTGTGTCTGAGTTTTGATCGTGGAGTTTCTGCTTTCGTTGTTTCACCGGTTTGACTGGTTTCGGCTGTGGAGTGTTCCAGCCGTACGCCCGTGCCGTATAAGCCGATGGGCGATGACGGCGATGAGTACTCCGTATTTTTTTGGGCAATTGGTTATTGGGCTAGTGGGTCGTGCAGTGTTGGGCTGGGTCAAAGGAATTATTTTAAACCCAACTTCAAAACGATGTCGTTTTTGTTTTTTTTCTTTGGCAACTGTTCTCCTTCTTTGATCGCCTGCCGGGCCAAAACTAGAAGGTGGATGCTGCAAAAAATCTGAGGGGGCAAATCCGGCCTCCCATCAGCGATTGGGTACCCTAATCCTATTTCGCCAGAATTTCGTTGGGGGGCACTTGCCCAGGCATGCCCTCCCTCCTCCGCCCCTACTCAAAAGGATAGTACTACTCATACCAACAAGGTGCATCTGTTTTCGAGAGTTCCTCACTTAGAAACTCTAAAGTTAAGCATGCTTGATTTGGAACAATTTTTGAATGAGTGACCCTGTAGGAAGTTTCTTGGGCGTGCACAAGGAATGACAAAAGTGTGCGGGAAAGACTTGTGTTGATTTGTGAGGCCAGTCTACAATCCTATGAGCAGACACTTTCGTCCATGGTGGGGGACAAGATGTTAAAGCAAAGGTGAGGATGAAGCTAAGATGGAGGGGTTTAGGGCGCAGGAATCATTAATTAGCATTGTTGTGGCTGCGTTTGCTAGTTGTAACGGAACCATGTTGCTTAGTAATGGTGTTCAACACTACAATAATATAATTTAAAAATATTTAGAGAGTATCAATCATATCTTCGACCACCAAAAATTCTAGTCTCTCATCTTTGACAACTTTTTCCAGCGAGTTATACTTCCGTGGTCCATAGATCCACCTTAGAAATATGGATTTCCCACACTTCTTATGGACTCACAATTAGATCTTTTACAAAAAAGCCCAACTCTAACATGACACTTATGTACTAAGTATCTGTAACGCCCCGAAACCTGGCCCAAAAGAATTAATTAAATTGTTAGAGAAATTGATTACGAATTGGGCCTAAAAAGGGGTTAAAATTATAATTTGGATTCTAAGCCCAACTTTTATGTCATCTCGTAGGAAATATTTTTGTGATCGCGTCGGTTCAGACGGCTCGCGAATCGGAGTTATGGAGCTCATGTTATGACCATTTAATCAGGTATTTTGGGTCCGAAGCCCAATCCATTTTGGAATGGGACCATTAAATAAACCTAAACCTAAATTTCAGCCACACGATTTCGTTATCCTTATCTTCTTTCTTCTTCCTCTTCCCGTTCTTCTTCTTCTTCTTCTTCTTCTTTCTTCTTCGCCAGTAGCGTCGTCCCTCGATCGCCGCCCAATTGCAGCAGCCAGCCGCCGGTCGTCCTCTGCCGTTCGACCACGCCGGCGTCGCGCAAGCCAGAGCTCCTCGCCGCAGCCAATCACCGCCGCCCCGTCGCTCACCGCTAGGTCCAGCCGCCGTCGCCGAGCCTCCAGCTGCCGTCGCCGAGCCTCCAGCTGCCGTCGCCGAGCCTCCAGCCGCCATCGCCGAGCTTCCAGCTGTTGTTTCACCTTCGCCGGAAGTCCGTCGCCTCCCCTACCGGCGACCCCCATCATCGCCGTCGAGTCCAGCGCCGGTCGCCTTTCCCCAGAGAGTCGTCGCCGCTGTTTTCTTCGTCGGTCGTCCGCCGCTAGTCGCTGCTCATCGCCGTCGAGCTACCGCTCCGCCACTGTCGCCGGCGTCCGTCACCGTCGCCGCATCCGGCCGCTGCCCCGAGTTGATATCGCCGGCAGATTAACCTCCACGCCGGATTGATTGGTCGATTTCGCATTTTGACTCAATTTGACCCGTTTGTTTGATTTCGTTGATTTGCCTTCCGTTCGGGCTATCGATTCGATTTCGGCGAAATCCAGGTCCGTACTATGAAGTTAATAGCATTCAGAATAGATTTAATGGTTTGGATCGTTATATGTGTTTATGCTATAATTTGGCTAAATTGGTTAATTGAATTAAATTGATTGTTTGAATTGAATTGTTGAGGATTGTGAATTGACTGAACAGGTTTGACTTTGACTTGGGTTAGGTCCTGTTTGACTTGGACTTTGACTGGATATTCTGTCGACGTAGGTTTGACCGAATGGTTAAATCCAAGACTTTAATGAATTAGTTAAGTTAATTAATTAATTCTAATCGGTGATTAAGGTCAATTGGTTTATTGTGTNCACCGAATTGAGGCTATCTTCGGTATTACGGATTGAGGCTATCTCCGTCATAGGCATTAAATGTTAAGTGGTTTGACTTTGGTGAAAGTCTAAATTGGTTTGACCGGTGGTCAAAGAGTTCATGAGAAACCCGTAACACCTAAATCGTTTTGAAAAGAAAGAAAATAAGTTGACTGTTGGTCAACCGTCTAAAGAACCGAATGTAAAGTTGAATTGATTTTTATTAAAAGGATAAACATATGCACGATCTTAATTGTTGAATTATTATGTTTATTCTTGTGCTACAATGGAGTACCACTCAGCGTCAATGCTGAGCGGATAGCGTTGTTTTTCTTTTTGCTGTCCGTAGGTGATCAGACAGATGAACCTAGAGCCGATCCCAGAGGGCATTGAGGAGGAGATGTACGATGGCGTGGCTGTCTCTTTAATCTGTTGATTATGCTTTATTTAATTAACTTTAATGCTTATTACGTTTTCGGGCAAGATCCCAAGTTGTTTGACTTTAAAAAGGCTTCCGCATTATTTTAAATTACTCCGATGAATTTTTATATGTATTGATAGAACGTTTGTTTAAAATCGTTTTGAAAATGTCGCAAATTCGGATACCAATTCAGTGACACACCGGTCCGCTGTCTCACGGGTTGGGTCATGCGGGTTGGGGTGTTACAGTATCATAAAATGAGAATGTACACAAAGATCACATAATAATTTGCCTTTTCCAACATCAGTTTACAATATCATAAAATCTTTTAAAATTATGTTGATAATGAACATTAAAGTCATTCCATGTGTGTGAAGAATAAAAACAAATAATGAATTCTACATAATCTATGGGTTATAAGTAATGTGCCATACTTTTTTTTAAAAAATATGAACTGAATACATACTTTTGAATAGCACAACTTTCACAACACTTCTAAAGTAGTTGAGATTTACAAAATTCAATAAATAGTGAAATTTGTGGTTGAGATTTATGCCGAGAAGAGAGTATGTGACTATTTAATAATTATATTAAGAGTCATCTATTATCAAATATTACCCCCGTAGTCCTTTATTAAGAGTCCTCTATTATAAAAATTATATTTAGTTTTACATAATTGGTCCTTTATAACAGGGGGGTTTCCATATTTAGTCCTCTATTATCAAATATTACCCCCGTAGTCCTTTTTTAAGAGTGCCTTTCCGCAAACGGTCCTTTTTTTATCTTCTGCCATGTTGGTGTTAATTTAAAGGCTAAAAGCATAATTTGACATCAACATTATGTCTAGTGACGTGTTCTGATATTGGTTAAGCGAATAACACAAAAATAATGACTATGATTGTGGGCTAGGATTCAGACGAAAGACCACATTTATATACTATAGTTGTAGTAGAAAGCGACTATAATTCACAAACGACGCAAATGGAATAACCTTTGGAATTGTGTATGACAAAAAAGATATATTATCATTGTGAAATTACTTTTTTAGCCATCAAATTAACACCAACATGACTGAAGATCAAAAAATGACTATTTGTGGAAAGATACCCATAAAAGAAGGACCACTGGGGTAATATTTGATAATAGAGGACTAAATAGGAAAATCCCCCTGCTATAAAGGACCAATTATGGAATTACTCTTATATTAAATTGAATGAGAGTTTATTTTGAGACAATTAAAAAGAAAGTAATAAAGTTATTATAGAATGAAAGGAATACTTGTGTTTGGATTCAAAAAAGGGAGGCATATTCATGCCCTTAAATTTGAAAGCTTAAGGGCATCTTCAATAGTAACACATGAATGTATTTAGTTTTCGAGTTGTACACCCCCCAAGAGTACTTTATTTTTTATTACAAAATGAGTTTTGCAGTATTTCAAACTCAAATATGGGTTGTAGTTCGGGGTACTTCATTTTTCTTTTTTTTCCATATCTTTATTACTTCACAATTTTTTAAAAATTTTTTTAGCTTACATTATATGTCTTTTTAGGTATTGGTTTTTTCTTTTTTATAATTTACCGCAATTTTTTTTAAATTTTCAAAATATAAAAGTAATAAAAAAAAGAATATAGTGTGAGAATATTATTTTGATTTTGGTATAGTAGTTAGAGATGAATTATTGTAAATTTGATATTTACTACATTTCGGATGTGAGTTTGGTGTGATGGTTGAAAGGTCTAAGACATATGCTACATTCATTTCATAAAAAAAATATTCACTTTCCTTTTTCATTAGTGTCTAAAGGTTGCCAAATAATTTTAAGGTTGTCATCTCATTCCTTAAATTACCTAAGTGAGCTTGATTGTTTTTCACGTAGGAGTTACGGGTCAAGTGGAAAGAAATTATATGAAAATATAAGAAAGTTGGGGCCAATAAGTAGTTGCACAGTTGGCAGCGCAGAGCTGTGATGATCTTGAGGTCATGGCTTCAAATCCCACTACCCGCTAGGAGACATTCAGTGCTAATTCGCAACCTGTTCGATAAGGATTAGTCTGATTTCACCAAAGTCAAGTGCGGAAGGTCTAACCAAAAAAATATTGAGAAATTTACCTAAATAACACTAAAACATAATGACTTTCCGTAAATAACATGATTTGTGTTTTTTCCCAATATAGCAATTTTAGTCATTATCCATTAGCTATTATTCAAATAAATGTTCGCCATTACTGGTCATTATTTTCTATTTCTGGTTATTATTAAGTGCTATTTAGGAACACAAAAATTTAAGTACTATTTAAGGAAATGAATTAAGTTTTAGTACTAATTAATATAAATATTTCAAAAATATTGTGAGAGAGTTGGTGTGGATTTTATCCCAATTTAAAAGATTTGTTTTTGGATAAAACTTTGTTTTGTTAGGGAGACACGGCGGAATGAGCTAAGCACGACAGAAGAAGGTGGGGGACAAACGTCACTCTTGGAGCTTAGGACGAGAGTGACCGCTTCAATTGGTTTTCATTACCATCGCTGCGAAGCATTCGAATCGCATAAGAAAATGGGTACCACCGATGGAAGCACAGTGGCGCCGTCGCTCATGGCCGATTTCCTTCAGAAGTCCGGCGGCGTAGGCGTGATCGACGGCGGCCTGGCCACGGAGCTGGAACGGCACGGTGCGAACCTCAACGATCCTCTCTGGAGTGCCAAATGCCTCCTTGATTCCCCCCATCTCATTCGCGCGGTACGCACTTTATATCAGTGTTTATGTTTTTCCCCCCAAATTTAGGATTTTTACCTTCTAGTTTCTACTAATGTCTTCATTGTGCCGAACCTGTGAACATGGGGTTGTCATTTTCTCTTATGATTATTTCACCTACATGCTACATTGTTATTATTTTGGATAATCACATGGTATATTTGGTGAAATAGATAGAGGAGTATATAACAATTGCATTTGATTATTGTAACTCATCTCCATCTCTTGAAGTATGTTGGTGGAGAGTTTTTGGCATGTTTTTTTTCTGGAGGAATGGCTGAAAGGTCATGTAAGAGAGGATTTGGAGCTTTTGAGGTTGAAAGTTGTGTGATTCATCTTGAGCTGCCGTTTAATGCATTCTTCGCATGACACTTCTAGTACTGTCATTTTTAGTCACTTCAACTTGCTCATAGATAAATACCTTAAAAATATTTGCGTGTAGTGATTTAGGAAATTGTGAAGTCTTCATTCTTCCACTGAGGGTTCTACATATAATGTTTCTTTGCAGTGCAACACACTGAAAACAGTCTAATATAGACGGGCACCTACTTGCTATTTCGGATATAATTAAATTTGGGATTGCGTCATAGTTCATTTCAATGAACATCATTTTTCTATATCACTTATTGGTTGACATAGAGCAGGTACACCTGGATTACCTTGAAGCTGGTGCAGGCATCATAATCTCTGCATCCTATCAGGCATGTATTTTTCTACAATCGACATCTCTTTCTCGTTGACTTTCTGTCTTTACCTAAACGTGTACTTGCCTTTAGAGCTGAATTTCATTCTTCCCTTATATGGACAGGCAACCATTCAGGGATTCATGGCCAAAGATTTTTCCCAGGACGAGAGTGAAGCCTTGCTTAAAAAAAGTGTTGAAATAGCATGTGAGGCACGAAATTTATACAACAAGAAATGCAGAGAATCTTCTTCTGATTATACTACTGCTGGGAAGGTTCTTAAAAATCGGCCTATCTTAGTTGCTGCATCTGTGGGTAGTTATGGAGCTTATTTAGCCGATGGATCTGAATACAGGTCAAATTTTCGTGAAAAAATTTCATATGTTCGTGCTAAATATGCATGGAGTATATATATGTGAATGTTCATAGGATATGCACTTTATACATCTCCTTAAACACTTACCTTGTCTCTTTAGTGAAACATTATGTTTCTTTTAAATCTAAACATTATGTTAAATTATGGTGTCATTTCGCTAATATATGATATTGCTTTGTTCTATTTATAGTGGGGACTATGGAGATGTAATCAATGTGAAGTTTTTAAAAGATTTTCATAGGAGGAGAGTTCAGCTTCTTGCTGATGCTGGTGCTGATATAATGGCATTTGAAACTGTGCCAAATAAGATTGAAGCTCAGGTAATTTCTGTTTGGGCTATTCAGTATGCAACTACGGCACACGTGGTTCGTTCTTTCGACTTGGTAACAGCTTGTGAAATAGTTATATTTAGCCCAACAATGCTCATACTTTTATCTGGACTACCATCAGGGGTAGATTATGTAACAGATTAACAAAATTAAATAGTCCAAACACTCCCCCAAATAAGAAAGACCCACATAAAAAGAAAGCCTCTAAATCATTATTTCTAACTCCTTTTTATAGTTTTATTCTTGGACAATTTACAACAGTGATGATAATAGTAAAGACTAATTTGTGTACTTGAGTTAATGGAAAGTTTTGAGGATGGGAGTGGTCTCTGTTGAGGATAAGTTGGGGAAAGCTTGACTCGGATGGCTTGTGGAGTTGAGTGAAGTTAGACTTAGGATCCAGAAAATGGAAGGACCGGGGGCAACAATAGGGCGGAGATCCGAGGCAGCGACCTAGGATTTTTTTTAAAGACAATATGAAATGACAAAAATAGTGTTAAAATGCATCCCATTACTGTGAATTAGTACACATAATTTTAAACTAACTTAACGATTTAAATTACTTTGATCCGTTTATTATGCAAGTGGGGGCATGAATAACCATAAATTATTTTTTTTAAATCAGGGTATTTATTAAAAATTTTAAGACGAAACACATAATAGACATTGTTATCAATGAACGTTGAATTCATCAGCTTCAGGCTATCGAGACTATATAAGTAGAAGTTATACAATGTATTACTTCCATCCATTCCCAACTAAGGAGTCCTGTTTGTCTATCCACCATTGGTTTCCATGTGACTTAATTTGTATATATATTTAATTTATTCTGCCCCCGATGAATTTTCTTTTTCTGCCACTGGTCGACCATTGTGGTGATGTTATATCAGTTTAGTAGACATTCTCATGTTGCACAGGATTTATAATTTTGTGAAGTATGAAAGTTACTCTTACTTGGAATAAGGCTCTGTTTTATGAAATTCACTCTCTCATTTTATGTAACAACTCGTGGCACTTAAACAGGCTTTTGTTGAGCTGCTTGACGAAGAGGATATCAAAATTCCCGCATGGTTATCCTTCAACTCTAAGGATGGCATCAATGTGGTCAGTGGTGACTCTTTATTAGAGTGTGCTACCATTGCAGATTCGTGCAAGACTGTTGTTGCTGTGGGAATAAATTGTACCCCTCCGAGATTCATATCGAATCTAATTCTATCCTTGAATAAGGTACTCTTATCCACCTTTTTTTTGGCTTTTTATAGTGTTTGTGATCTCATGCCACCAATATTAGAAGTTTCAACTAGTTGGATAATGCAATACGGAGTAACAGTTAAGCCAAAATGTATACTGTTTTTTCATTATAAAGTGTATTTAAAGCAATAAAACACCATGTTGGCTGCCATGGTCCACAGTCTCTGAGATATCCATGTGATTGATGATGAAAACCCCCCTCTCTTACCCATGGCTGAAGAGGAAGAAAATTCCAACCGTAAATGTCCTTAACTAAATAGGAAGATTTGATCAATTGCTTCAACAACTATTTAATTAATAAATTTGCGAACATAAATAGGCAAAACCTTAAAAGAGGAGTCCTACACCCCATACCAGGAGACCAAATTGCTTATTAGGAATCCGTTAGGAATATTAACTAAAATAGAATAACAGCATTGATAGATACAATTACAATATCAACAACAAAAATAATAATAACAATACCATTAAAAAAACTAAGAACAAAACTAACTAATTAAACCCTATATGCATAACACAGGGTATGGTTTTTAAAACAAAAAACATGTATTATTGAAAGAATTTGAGAAAATAAATTTAAAAAATGGATATAATTTATTTTCTTGTGTTATTCATGATTAGATCTCACTTTTTAATTTTATTGAAAGAATATGGTTTGGGATGTTTGTGGTGATGTTCTATGGGTGCTTCAAATATGTGCTATATCACATTATCACCTATATGTATTTACGTGGAGTTTGTTCTCTTCTGATAATGCTATTGAACATCATTTTGGTAAGATATTGTTTGTGTTAAGCTGTGAGTATTCGACTTATTATTTACTTTTAATATGGAGGATTGTTGCGTATTCATTTTGCTTGGATGAAATCATGGAAGTAGGGGTGTAAACAGATATTAATCAGATCGAATGTGCCATTACCAAATCCGTATCCGTTTATTTTTGTCGGATATCGAATTCGGATACGGATCTTGACGGATACTGAAAATCAAAACCATATCCGCATCCATCGGATATCGGTCGGATATCGGATATATCCGTATCCGTTTCCAATTTTTATAATCAAATTAAGCAATATTTTAATTTTAAATAAGATTAAAGTCAAACTTTATTAAATCAACTATAATTTGATATGAGATAATTATTTTCTTTGTTTTCATGATTTATGATATTCTACGATAACTTCATATGATAAAAAGATCTACACAACACACATATACATATACTTTTATATGTCTGTATATATTTTTATATGTCTACACATTTATTTTGTATATAAAAATGTCTTATATTTTGAAATATCAATAGAGAAACAAATTATAAACATAAAAAATTAGGAAAAACTATATATAACAGATCAGATATTCGGATAAACGATTATTTAAACGGATGCATATTCGGATCGGATATACAATTACCAAATCCGTATCCGTTTAGTAATCGGATATCCTTAATCGGATACGGATAATATCCGTTTAAAACGGATGCGGATATTTCCTCTTTAAACGAATACGGATGCGGACGGTAATCGGATTTTCGGCTATCCATTTACACCCCTATATGGAAGTATGAAACTTTGTTATTTGAAATTCTGAACGTGCATTACATAACAAGATGATAAGATGTATTTGAGAAATGAGAATCCATAAGTATATTAGTATTTGATATTTTCTATTCTTTCACAAGTAGTACAAGTACTTAAACATGGGGCCGAAGTTTTTCATAACACCGTATCTAACACTCACACATTTCCATTTTTTAAAAAGTAATCATTCTTAACAAATTTTGATGGTATATTTCATGCTAGTTACAAAATAAAACGTGCATCTAAATATCTTTATTTGTTTCTCATATTGCATTTAACTATTTGAGGCAACGGCTACTCTATAGGCTTATGCTTGACTTTCTTGTCTTGTATTTACTACCAGGCTACTGCCAAACCAATTCTTATATATCCAAACAGTGGCGAGACATATGATGCCGAGAAGAAGGAATGGGTAGTAAGTTTTGTTCTTTTATATTTGGCTAGCTTCAAAATTACCGTGTAATACTGGTGGGTCATTGAAATTACTTCACCGTTCATTTGCATTCAGGATATATGTAATGATCTTGTTCAACCTGTCTTGGTTATTATAATGGGAAATGAATTATCATCATATTGTTGACAATTTTCCATGTAAATAATAAGCCATTTTTTTACATTGCAAACAATGAATCTTTGCGTTGCAGACAAATACAGGGGTGTCCAATGATAGTTTTGTGTCCTATGTGAACAAATGGTGCGAAGATGGAGCGTCCCTTGTTGGAGGGTGCTGCAGAACGACTCCTGACACTATTAGAGCAATATACAATGTGCTCTCGACCGAGCAAAACTCGGCACATCCCAAGTAAAAAAAGAAGAAATAAGCACAGACCGCATGCTCCTTTCGGTTACCACGGACAGCAAACGGGTGATGGTCACAGGGCATATATATTTTAGGAGAATAAAATGTGCAGAGAGATGATCGTGTGAATGTTGGCCAATGGTTCCGAGCTCTAAATGTGCAGTTTATGTGAGGGTGAATATGATGTTTGGATCTCATCATCTTTGGCTCGCCGCTGAATGGACTGCAGAGTAATGGTATTATTCTATGTGATGGTGCATTTTGTGCATACTATACTCGGCAGAATATAGATGGTTATTTCTGTAATTTGATGTGTATTTTAGCTGTCCCTTGATATCAAATTTCATTATGTTCCCAAAGCAAAATATATGGACATGTTGTTATTGCCATTTCTTAAGTTAATAAAACATTAGAAAAATTAATGGTGATGACTGATGTTAAATTAAAGTCTTATATTGAATTATGATGGTTGACTAAATTCATTTTCAATTCAATTTATGTAAATAGTGATATTTTAAAATAGTCCCTCCGTCCCAATTTAAATCGTCTGTTTTGACTTTTGGGCATATTTAAGGAAAATAAAAAATAGAGTTGATTTTCCGAAATTGACATTACTTTTTAGGAGGGGTGATGAAGATAAGGTGAAGAAGTGCGACTTATTTTAGGGGTAGTTTAGTTATTTTATTTTTAAAAGTTTACGAAAACAACTAGACAACTTATTTTGAGACGGAGAAAAAAAGGCAAACAAGGAATTTAAAATGGGACAGAGGGAGGGGAGTACTTCCTCTGTCTTAATTTATGTTGCATGTCTACTATTCGCATGGTCAAATTTTAATCGCGTTCTTGATCAATTTTCGCGACCCATTTGAGAAAATAATATAGTCTTGTCACTTTTTATTTTGTAGAACTTTTGATGTAGTTTATAATTGTATAAATTCTACTACGGAGTATTTTTTAATTCCTTATCAATTTTCAAATAAATTAAAATAAAAATAACTTCAGTCAAACCTTGTTACCAACAAGAGGTGACTCTTATTGGGACGGAGGGAGAACATAGAAACTAAATTAAATTCTTGCACGTTTATATTCCGTATAATTTTAATAAATGATTAACAAAATTAAGTGATGAAAAAATTGTAGGACCTAAGGAGACTTTAGTTTTGTTAGGAACATATGGAGTATTTAATTGTTGGGTTAGACTCGACGTATGAGTGATACTGGCTTGGACTTGGGGTGAGGATGGCTAGGGTTAGGACACAAAAGAGGTGAGTGTGTGATCTCTTGAGATCATGTCTCATGTTAGTCACATCCATTATTTTTCTTGAAAGTGGGTCATTTCTGGGATCGAATTCTGACAGCGACAGTGTGAGAGTTTCATTCTTTGTAATAGCTCTTTATGCGCATCGGGTATGATGGACAATAAATCCACCAAATGATCCGATTCAGATCGTAAGAATGAAATAAGAATAAGAACTCAAGAATTAGATGTGTATTATTAGCTTGATTTAGCTTGAGTCTTTTCCCTCTCGGGTCTCATCTATTTATACATGGATTCTAGACAGTTAAGGTAATACATAATCAAAGGGAGTCTATCCCGTCGATGGCGCGATCCTCTTTTCCCGGCTTCATCTTCGTTCTCCAGCGGAGTCTTCTCCCCTGGACTGGCTCTGCCAGCTGTCTTGGGTTGAAGCAGACCGGGCCTCGCATTGTGGGCCGGCCCATGTTCAAGCATTTTCTGTGTGCCTGACCCGGAATCTGCTAAATGATTGATTTAGGCCGCCCGCTAGATATCGGCCCATCACAAGCCCCCCAACTCCTCATTCCTCGACTGGGCCACATTGAGGGATGGGGAGTTTACGAGGTCTATGTGGGCGTTCCGGCACGGATCCGGGCCGTTCCTTGGGTTTCGCGTGACGTTCGGCTCGATCTCCACTAAAAGGTAATCATGGCCTGCTGCTTCGCCTTCCTACTGCTTGTTAAAACCGCCACTGGATGCCAATCTTCCCCATTTGCCTTCTCAATTGCTATTCGTTTGTGATTTCGCCGTTACCCGACCCGTGTTTCTTCTGCTCCAGGTCAGTTCCCTTTCTCGCCACCATGATTGTCTCTGATTCTAATTCGGCTTCCCCGTCATCCACTTCTCGCCAAGCCGATCAATCGGCCTCTGGCCGTGACCTAAGTCAGACTCAATCGTCCCAGCCATCACCATCGGCCATGCCTGGCCAAAAGCGGCGCCGATTGAGGAAGCAATTTCCTTCCTCGACCCCAGTACAAGGGGGCTCGAGGGTTAAGTTGGATGAGAACATCATGGCGTTGTGCCATTGCCAAATTACTGGCTGAGGGTTCGCCGATGCTACTGACATGGTTGGACCCTCTATTGAGGTCCTAAGACCTACCAGCACCCAAACTGCCCTAGACGCTACTTCATGGTTCTTCACAGTCCATCTGGCGTCTCTAAAGAAGGGACTGTGATTCCCTCTCCACCCGTTGTTGATTGAATTCCTCAACGAGGTGGATCTCCTTCCTTGCCAACTGATCCCCAATTCTCATCGGTACATTGCCGGTTACCTGATCAGATGCAAGGATGTAGGGGTGAAGCCTACCCTTGACCACTTCTTTTTTACCTTCAAGCTGACCAAGGGTCATAAGGATTGGGCGTCCTATGCCAGTCTTTCCCAGAGGTCCAGCAAACTTTTCACCAGTGACAAGAAGGGGTCGACTAAGGATTGGAAGCCCTTCTTTGTTTTTGTCTCGACGGGACCCGAATCTCCTTTCACGGGTTCAGGGCTCCCCTCCTTCCGTCGCATCCCATGTCCCCCATCCGACGCCACCCTCTTTTCCATCACCCGTCAACTCTGCGGTAAAGGGGCCGTCAATATCAAGGAGGTGGTGACCGAGGAGTCTCTTGCCGAGCTGGGGTTTGAGTTCGTCCAGGACGAGCTTCGCCACCAACCCGACCTACTAAGGGATACTCCCGGGGGACCTCAGCCTGACCAGCTAAGGGACATTCATGAGGGAGGTCTTGACTGTGGTCCTTTTGGTACTTTCCTTCTCTTTTTGTCAAGGAATTCATATTTGCTTCCTTTGGAGGCTAACCACTTCCTTTGTTTTCAGTTGAGCCACAAGGGTTAGAGAAAGAGATGGACAGTGATCTCTTGCTCGGTCGCTTCGTCGCAGGGAAGAAGAGGAAGAGAGACGCAACCAAGCAAAGCAAAAGCACGCGCTCTTCCTCTCGAGGCGAAGACAGCCCCCCTCGCGAGTAGATCGTGATCGAGGTGGAAGACCAGGATGATGCGGCCCTGGAAACGGGGACAATGGCGATCAATCCCACGCCGCGCTCTTTGATGCAGGGTGGCAACCTCGCTAGGTCATCCCAGGGGGCTTTCTCGGAGCGACCTCCTTCACCTCTCGTAGTGACCTACGAGGTGGCAACCGAGGGTCGCTCAACGAGGTTCAGCATTCCTCCCCCCTCCCCAAGTCTAAGGGACGCACAGCTGGAGGTCGTGGTCACCCTATCCGCGCAAGACCGGGCTCGCATCTCGGCCGGTTCTGAGGAGGACCTCAACAACATGGTTCTCCTGAAACTTAGCCAGGTATTTGCCTTAATTCCCTTCTCGCCCCCCTCCGCCTTACATCTCTAATTCTTTAAGCTTTGGTTTAGGCCACGTTGGGGATGATCGAGCTTGTTGGCCGGAGGCAAGACCGCCAAGCGGCGATAGATGCAGAAAGGAAGGTCGCCCGCCTCGCAAGAGAGTTGGAGGAGGAAAAGGGTCGCTCTTCCGCCCTTGAGACAGAGAAAGCCTCCTTGTCTTCAGAAGTGGGGTCCGTTTCTGCCCGCGTAGCTGAGCTGGAGGGGGATAGTACCGATCTGATTCAACAGCTGGAGGTGGAGAGGAGCGATCAGGTCCGTCGCGTGAAAGAGGCGATCGAGTCGTTCAAATCTTCTCCTGATTTTGCTGCGGTCGCTATGGAGCGGATGGACAAGCTGGTGGTCGAATGGTTCGACACCGAGCCCGGGGTCCAATGGATGGTCAAGGAGGGAACGAAGTCCTTCAACTGCGGACTCTTTCGTGCCCAACAAGTTTTTCGCAGCAAACTAGCTCGGCTCCCCAAAGGATTTTCCTTCCCCGACCTTGGTCTTCCTCCCCCTTGCCATGCCTTGGCTGAGTTCGACCCTAGTCCTTACCTGGACGAGGGGAGCTCGAGTGCCTCTGACGAGGAAGAAGAAGAAGCTATGGACGACCAAGGTGGGCAAGGCGACCAGGATCCTGCGGCCAACCAAGCCGCGTCCAAGGCGGGTGGAAGCGCCAGCTCGGGCATCTGATTTACCTCCCTTTTTCTTGTCTTTTTTACCTTTGAACTTGTAAGACTTGTGATTTTTTGGAAAGCCTTGGTGTTTGATACAATATCCCATGCTTGATGGTTTGCTCTTTCCCTTTCGTGCCTTTACTTTCATTGCGTTTTGCTGTTGCATTCTTTCCTTTAGTTTGGCTTAACTTGTAGACACGGATGGGCTTTTAGCTTGGGCCCGTCCTCCATTCTTGGCCCAATTGCACAGCTAGGCCTAGCCTAGGGACTAGCTGGCATGCCGCCCAATTGACCCACTCCCTTTCGCACAGTCTTTGATTGGACCTTTGCGCGGCTCAAAGTTGCTTTATTGGTTCAGCTGCCTTGGGACTTGACCGCCCCTTCGGTTTCTTCACTCGGGGCTATTTATAAGCCCCCAGCCTTCGTTCAGCTCCACCACCAAATACTTTCTCTTTCTCCTTTTTTGTCATGTCTGAAGAAATTCCCACTTCTCTGAATCTCTCCGATGGGCCGGTCCCTTCTTCACCGGAGCCTGCCTCTTCCCCCAAATCTGTTAACTCCAATGACTGGGGGGCTAGACCCCTACGAATTCTGCCGCTGGTTGCCTCGCCGGCAATGGCCCTCGGTTAAACCACCGCCCATATCGCCAAGTCCTTATGACGACTTTAGCGCGGCGTACAAGGCACTTTCAGCCAACCGTCTGCCAAACGGACAGATTGACTGGGATGCCCCATGCCCCTCCACTAATTGCAGTGCATGGCTTGGGAGAGCGTGCAGAATGAGCACTTGCCCCTCTTGAAGCATGAGGGAGCATATTACACAAGTCTAGAGCAGTGGACTAGCGAGAGTCGCACCAACTCACCGATACGGCCTAAAGATGGGGTTGTGGTGGGGGAATAACTAGATTCTTCCATACCCCGCCCTGCCGGTCGCTCACCTCCCCGGAAGGCCCCTAGGCGATCTGGAGTAGCCCAAGCAGCCTCAAGGTCTTCATCCTCATCTAGGTGACGCCGACTGGTCATCAAAGAAAAGTGAGCCGCCCTCCTTCCTTCCCCTGTAGGAGATAGACGGGGGGTTTTTGCTGCAGCTAGGGGGCGACCAACTCCGTTCCATGTTGGAGAGGAAAGGTGGTTGCTCTGGACGGCCAGTGATCGGGGTTCTGTCGGCCTACACAGCTGCAGAACTAACCTTCAACCTTGCCTTTTCCCTTGTATTCCTCATCCTTTCCGGGCTTCAGCCGCACAGAATTTGGATTTTTCCTTTTCTTTTGTCTTGTATGAGAGATGTATGGGAGAATTTCCCCTCTTGAGTGTATGTAGAATGAAAGTTGTTCTCAATTGTATTGGATGTGCAGATGCAAAAGGTGATCTTTGAAGTGCAATGGGGATTTTCATAAATGTATTTTGATGTTACCTGTTTACTTACAAGTCTCATCTTCTTCTCAAGTTACCTGTTTTGCACCTTACTTCATGCATTCAGGTCTCCTCCATCCTCGGTTAGAGAACACCTCGCTTTTTGTGACTTAGCCATTCTTGGGGCCTTTTCGCTCCCATGCCATTGCCATATTTTTCCCAAGTCCTTTGGTAGCTCATGCGACCATCAGATCTTATGTTCTGGACTTAGCCGCCTCTTTGGCTTTCTCGCCACGGCATCGCCCTCCTGTTAGGCGTGCTGTCCTATAGTCGCCCTAGCAACCGTAGATCAAGCACCCTCTGATAGCCCTTAGATTTGGTCTCTAATAGGGTTCGGCACTTCATCCCTTGGTGGGTATCCTAGTTCAAATCACCATGTAGCTCCCAATTGCGATCTCTTTGGTCGCTCCTTTTTTTCGAATGATGGAATTCAAGAAGAGAAATGCCAAAATGCTGATTTTATTAAACTCAAAGGAGAAACACAGCAAGAGTACAATCTATTGATAGAATTTGATAAGATTGGCAGCATTCCATACCCGCAGGACGTCGCCCCCCCGCTGGTGTTTGTAGTCTAAAGGGTCCATCGGCCAACATTTCCTTTATGATGTATGGCCCTTCAAAACTCTTGGCAAACTTCCCTCCGTTAGTCGGCCGACTGACCTCCCTCTTCCTTAGGACCCAGTCGCCCGTTCTAAACTACCTTGGTTGCACCCTTTGGTCATGGTACGACTTAACTTGCCGACGATAGTTCTCTACCCGTATATACGCCCTTTCTCTTCGCTCATCTATGAGATGCAACTCCGCCCTTAAGTTCTCTTTGTTTTCTTGGGCATCAAACGTTTCCACTCTATAGCTCAACAATGAGGTCTCCGCTGGAGCCCTTGCCTCAAACCCATACGTGAGCGCGAACGGAGTTTCACCCGTAGCCTTCCTTGGGGTAGTCCTATAGGTCCACAAAATGTAGGGAAACTCCTCCACCCATGCACTTTTGCACTCCATTATTTTGTTCTTAAAGCCGTCCACAATGGTGCGGTTGGTATTCTCGACCTGCCCATTGGTCTGGGGGTACCCAACTGCGGCGTAGCTATGTTTTATGCCCCAACTCTGTAAAAACTCATTGAACCCTTGGCTTCGAACTGGGTCCCATTATCAGTGATGATCTGCTGGGGCACCCCAAAACAGCACAAAATTTGTTTGGACACAAATTTCCTCATTTGCTCCTCAGTGATGGTCGGTACTAGGGAAGCCTCGACCCATTTGGTAAAGTAGTCGATCGCGACCACCAGGTACATGTTATTTCCTGCGCCCCGGGGCAAGATGCCGACTAGAACAATACCCCACCGAGCAAAGGGAATCGCCGTGCTGATCGGGGTGTAATTTGTTGCTGGTCGCCCTGGCACCTTCTGAAACTCCTGGCACACCTTGCACTTACGCACGTATTCTGCAATCTCTGATGATTGTTGGCCAAAAATACCCCTGCAGAGTTATCTTTCTGGACATCGTGAAAGCTCCTTGGTGAGCTGAGCATATCCCTTCATGGATTTCCTCCATTAACTTCTGCGCTTCGCCCCTCCTTAAGCAACTCAACAATGTACCATTGTACGATCGCTTGTATAACCGACCGCACTCCAGCGTGTAGCTAGGTGCACGTCGTTTAACAACTTTAGCAGCGACCGATTCGGTTGGTAGCGACCGATCAAGGTTGTACATGGTTTTTTCGTCGATCCAGTCCGACTCTTTGAGTGTAACGACCAGAACCTATCGGGACTGATGCTTGGCTCAAGCAACTCTTCCATATTCGTGTATCTGAGCTCTGAAAGTAGGGGGTGACCTTTTTCATTGTACACACCACCGCGAAGATGGTCTTTTCCATATTCGTGTATCTCAGCTCTGCCCCTCGTAACACCCGAGCCACGTAGTACACTGGGAGCTGCATACCCTCCTCCTCCCTCACAAGTACTCAGGTCACAGCCTGAGGAGAGATTCCTAAGTACATGAACAAAGTCTCTCCGTGCTCCGGCTTCGAAAGCACTAGCGGTGAGAGGAGGTACGCTTTCAATCCTTCAAAGGACCACTGACATTCTTCGGTCCAAACAATGCCTTTGCTTTTCTTTATGGTCTGGAAGAAGGGTGCCGCACGATCAGCTATCTTCGATAAGAAGCGACTGAGAGCAGCGATCCTCCCTGTGAGCTGTTGGACCTCCTTCACGTTCCGCGGAGGTTCCATCTCTAAAATTGCCTTCACCTTTTCTGGATTGGGATCGATCCCCCTTTGACTGACCATGTCCCCCATAAACTTGCCTCCCTGAACCGCAAATGTGCATTTCTTGGGGTTGAGGTGGAGCTGGAACTTCTTCATGATTCTGAAAACCCTCTCTAGATCTTGGGCATGAGACTCCATCTGCTTTGACTTGACGATCATATCGTCCACGTATGCTTCCATGCACCCCCCTAACACTGGCGCGAAAAGCTTGTTGACCATTCGTGCGTAGGTCGCGCCAGCAGTCTTTAGATCGAAAAGCATCACCTTGTAGCAATATACCCCATTGGGGGTTATGAAAGCGGTCTTCTCTTCATCTGCCGTGGCCATCTTGATCTGATGGTATCCACTAAACGCATCCATAAAACTCATCAGCTCACAGCCTGCCATCTCATCCACCAACTGATCAATGTTGGGGAGAGGAAAAGGATCCATCGGGAAGCTTTGTCCAGGTCGGTGTAATTGATTTGCAGTATAGAACGGGCAAAACTAAAACTAAAAAGAAACCCTTGTAAGTAGGGTGTCGAACCTCAAGGAGACGTGAGTTAATTTAATTTAAACAAAAGTTTACAAAAGAAGTTGTAAACTATTTTTGGTCTTTTTGGTTTTAGAGATAAAATAAAAAGTGTAAAAAGAGAGAGTTCCAAACAACACAAAGTTTTTGATGATGAAAAGTTAGGGGTAGAAATTGGTAAATTAATTGTCCAATGTTTTTATAAAAGTTGGATTGTTAATTTATTTTTATATAGAATGTGTGGGGTTGTAGAAAAGTATTTAGAGACGCTCTCGCAGTTCACCTAAATAATAACCACTCCGACTTTAACACGCTAATGATAAATCCGGAGTAATTATTTAGTAACAACGGCAACCATAATTATTTTATTGTATTTTTACCCAATTTAATGGTGTAAAAATACAACTCAATAATTATGTTCACCCGAAAGTCTTCAATCCCGGTTAAAGGTAGAAAAGGCTTATGGTGTAATTAAAAAGTGTTCTATTTTATGATTATTTCAATTTTAGCTCAAATTCCTTTTTAACAATTATGTTTATGATTGGGTCCTTAATTAAAAATCACAAACATTCCAAATTTATTTATTTTTAAATACAACATCTAAGTTAAAATAAAATCAAATATCCATGTTAAAAATATTTAAAACATTAAGATGGAAAATTAATTAAACCAACTTCTAACCCCAATGGAATTTAGAAGTTCATAGTTTGGAGCTTAAACAAATAAATATTATTTACAAACATAAAAATCTTACAAAAGGGAAGATGTGTTCTTGAGCTCCAAATATGATAAATGATGATGAAGATAGAGTAATTTTTATGTGTTTGGATGAAGAAAGTGGTGAGATATTAGTGAGGAAGAAGAAGAAATTCGGAAATGGAGATAGTGAGAAGTGGGGGTTCCAACCTCTTAGAAGAAGAGAAGGGAGTGGATTTTATAGATAAATTCGTATATACGGAGTATATACGAACAATCCCAAAAATGTCAACAAAGCTACACTAGCCCACTGATTTGCAGTATAGAACGGGCAAAAATAACAACTAAAAAGAATCCCTTGTAAGTAGGGTGTCGAACCTCAGAGAAACGCGAGTTAATTTAATTTAAACAAAAGTTTACAAAAGAAGTTGTAAAATATTTTGGTCTTTTTGGTTTTAGAGATAAAATAAAAAGTGTAAAAGAAGAGAGTTCCAAACAACACAAAGTTTTTGATGTTGAAAAGTTAGGGGTAGAAATTGGTAAATTAATTGTCCAATGTTTTTATAAAAGTTGGATTGTCAATTTATTTTTATATAGAATGTGTGGAGTTGCAGAAAAGTATTCAGGGACGCTCTCGCAGTTCACCTAAATAATAACTACTCCGACTTTAACACGCTAATGATAAATCCGGAGTAATTATTTAGTAGCAACGGCAACCATAATTATTTTATTGTATGTTTACCCAATTTAATGGTGTAAGAATACAACTCAATAATTATTTCCACCCGTAAGTCTTCAAT